CGGCGCCGGCCCCCGCGCCCTCTCGCTTGTCCTCGTCGTCCTGCCGCGCCCGTGCAGCCGGGGCGTGTTCGTGGCCCGGAGCGAGGCTGCTCTGCGGGCGCCACCCGAGCGCCTTGGCGCGCAGGGTCCGGGTGCTGCTCCTCTGCCGCTGACCCCGAGCCCGGCGGGCCGCAACACGCTTCACCCTGGGCTCGTTCTCCTGCTCCTGGGGACGCTCGGCGGAGCTGCGGCGGTGCTGGGGCTGCGCTGCCTGTGCTGGGCGGACACTTGTGGCTGGCAGGGGCCGGGCTGAAGACCAGCGGTGGACTGGGTGCCTGTGCTTGCTCTGTCCGGGGTGCTATTTCTGATCCTTAGACTGGAGGCTGGGCCCTGGATGGCATGCGTAGCGCTGTGCGTAGCGGGGATGCCTAGCTTACCCATACAGTACCTAACTGGGTATGTTTTTGTTTTCAGGTTGGAAAAATGCAGGGTAATAAAGGCTTTAACATGGATAAACAGAACCACACTCCAAGAAAACAGCATCAGCAACATCAGCAACCACCGATTCCTGCCAACGGGCAACAGACCAACAGCCAGAGTGAGTTGTGGGGTTGAACAGTGTTGTTTTGGGGGCTTTACATGCCCTCAAGTCTCTGACGGGTATTTCACCTCAGAGTGTCACACTTTCTATGTGAAATACATCTTTGATGTGGTACTTCAGAGCTTTCTTTGGATTGTCCTCAGCTGCCCGTCCTTACTTGTGGGACTGGGATTTAGGAATGTTATTGTCCTAATCCTGGCCGGCTCATGCAATCTCTTGCATTATTCTTTTCCAAAAAGATAGTCAAACTTTTCACTTCTTTGGAGGTGGGGTAAATTGTGTCTCACACTGCTGTCACAGGGACGCCCCAAGCCCCTCTCCACTGTTCTGCTTGTTTTCAGGGAACAGACTGGATCTTTGCCCTTGGGGTAACCCTGTCCCCAGCAGATCTCCGTCTCCTTAGCTCCTGTTCAGACCTTCCAGCTCCAGCAGGGGAAAATTGTCCAGCTTGCAGAGTTAGCATCTCTGATTTGAAAAATATTATAGATCTGCTGTTTTCATATAAACAAAATACTTGTAAAATTGTAAGTTCCTCTGATTATTGCTCTTCCCACATGCTGTCCGTAAGGCATAGGAAAATAGGGATGGAAGGGACTTTGTGTGGTCATCTGGAGCTTGGAGCAGGATCGTGTCAGACTAAACTGTTCCAGCCAAGTGTCTGTGTAACTAGGTCTTGGAAAAGTTACAGAATCTTCACCCCTGGACACTTTCAAGTAGCCTGTTCTGATGCTTGACTACCTTCACAGTCAAAAAGTTTTTCCTAGTCTCCAACCTATGTTTTGTCTGCTGCAGTTCGAGGCCATTACTCCTAGTCCTTTTCCCTGTGGCTGCAGAGAAAAGCCCATCTCCATCATCTATAAAGTATGCTTTAACTATCTGAAGACCGTTCAAATCTCTTCTCAGTCGTCTCTCTTCAACCTAAATAACCCTAGTGTTTTCAGCCTTTCCTCCTAAGTCTTGCTTCTGTGGCCCCTAATTATATTTTTTGTCTCTTTCCCCTGGACCCTTTCCAATCTGCCCATGTCTTTCTAGAAGTGAGAGGCCAAAAACTGGACACGGCCTCAGCCTCTCTTCTCGCTAGAAAACAGTCCTTCAGTGAGTCTTGTCAGTGTTTCCAGTGACCAGCTTCCCTGTTGGCACGAACAACTGTGGGGGCAGGACTCATTCTCAAGGTGTGGGTTTTAGATGCTCTTTTCCCCATCAGGCATCTCTTGAATACCTTACTGCTTTCCTCCGTCTTTATTTCTCTGCCCAATCCTTTGGGGGGAAGTAAGGGGGAGCAGGTGTATTCTGTCGATGATGTCTTTCTGACTGGGGGGGTGCTTTTTTTCCTGACAATGGCCCTTCCCCTTGGAATGTACTGTTCTGTGTTTGGGGCTAGCACTTCTCAACCTATGGGCTAAGTTAACCTTTACCCAGTGGTGTTGACAGCTCTGGATTGGTGAAATTGTGATAATAATTTGGACCTCAAGGAGTGGGGTTTAATGGCCTGCGGGGGTGGGGAGTTATGGAGGAAGAGGGTGTCTTATTCAGAAGCATGACAGGAGGGATTAGAGCTCCATTTCTGTGTATGGCTTGGGGAGGTGGCTGATTACATAAATTAATCTATTTAATATTAACACTGTGCTTTGGGAAAAGTCTAAGTGCCAAGTAATTTCTTGTGTTCTGCTTTTCTTGTATTTCCCTTCATTGCCTTACCTGTCATCTGTTGTGGGCCATGCCACCTGATTGTCTAGATCCTGACTGCATTTTGGACTAGACCTCTCCTATTTTGTATTGGTCATATTCTTTCTGTGCTGTTGGTGTTTGTGGAACCTTTTCTAAGGAGAAGTACAGATGCCATCAGTTTCACTACACCAAGTAAAATTCCTTTACAGTCCTATTACCCATTTTGCCCTTTTAGTGGGAGGCTGTTTCCCTGGTCTCAGCATCATGTCCCTTTGAGTGTGGAATAAGGTGGCTGGCCAGTCTTTGCTCTGCTTGACTGGAGAAGTAGGACTCTGACATTCATGGTAAGGTCATCTCAGAGTGACTGGCCTATATCTTGGCATCCTTTGGTCTGATCCACTAGGGACAGGATAGTGGCCATAAGAGATCTCTAACGTCAAGCTTCTGTTAGCATATTCCTGTACCTGATGGCTAATATCTAAATACATCTTTGTGAGGCTGGCTTGGACCAATTCAGAAGTCGGATGACTTCCCATGTTTCTCTCACTACTGTTTGGGAACCTTCGTGCTTCCTCCTTGACTGTGCTTTGATTCATGTATTATTAATTTGTCAGTGCATTGGTTCTATTCTAGCTGCTCAGTGTTGTATAAATATAGACCAAAAAACTTGAAGTTGTTGCTGAGGTCCCATCTGTGGCTTTCCTGCCATTCTCACCATTCCAGTATCCTTGCCAGCGTGGAAGCATGTTCTGTAACCTGGGTCCCATCTCTTGCTTTTCCAGGCTGTATATGGAAGATGTTATCTGTGTCTTTATGCAGTGTTTAATGTGATATAATAAGGCTTATCGCTGCTGGGCATTATTTCCCTCAGATGAAGGTCTGACAATTGACCTGAAGAATTTTCGGAAACCTGGTGAAAAGACCTTCACCCAGAGGAGCCGTCTGTTTGTGGGGAACCTGCCCCCAGATATTACAGAGGAGGAGATGAGGAAGTTATTTGAGAAATATGGAAAGGCAGGTGAAGTCTTCATACACAAGGACAAAGGCTTTGGCTTTATTAGGCTGGTGAGTGGTTACTGCTACTTAAGGGATGTCCTCTGGTACTAGGGAGTGATGCTTGTTGGAAGTACAGATGAAGCTTAGATATCTTGTTAGTCCAGCCTGTTCTCACTAAGCAGGTGTTTTTAATTTTGGTGGAATGTAATATGGGGTCAACTTGAGCAGGTGGTGTAGGTGGAACATTTCCTAGGGGGAAGTACAAATGCCATCAGCTTCACTACACCAAGTGAAGTTTGTTTATAATCCCATTACCCACTTCTTATGCAAGTCCCTTTACAGTCCTGTCCTAGCTGGAGAGAAAGAAAGTGCAAATTAGCTATGGGAGGTGGACCTTAAATTAATTGGATATACCAGGATATCTGTAGGAGTGAGACAGGGACATCAGCCTTTCAGAAGAATAGGGAGAGTGCTTCTATGGCTTTAAGAGTCCCTGGGTTATGGCATGTTTGCATAGCACTAAGTAAAATAGTTGCTGAGACCTACCCTTTTCCATGGGCAGGAGTGAGGCTGGGACCTGTTAGACTCAGGTGTTCACACCCTGAGGAAGAAGGGGACTTAGTGCCAAAGGCTGATTGACCACCTCTCCCAGCTATACAGTTGGCTCAGTCAAAGGTACCTCCTGCTGCCCCCCACCCCCCGTCATTTTTCACATGACCCACCTTGCCTCCTACAGTGCCTAAGAGTCCACTTCTGGGTTTTGGTGGTAATGTATATGATTTTTCAAAATGTAGGCCCTAGACTCTTGCTCTTGGAGCCTGTGCAACACAGTAGGGGTAGTGTACTCCCAGGTTGTATACTGAATCTAATCTAGGCCAGCCTTAAGCCTGTTTGATCCAGCTCTGTCTTGGAGAAAACTGGCAATCAGTCATTCACTAGCTGCACAGTGCAAATCATATGGGTAGAAAAGGGTAGGTTTGTGTTTGAGCCCTTGGGCTGGGGCTTATTCCTGTCTCTGAGAACCCTTTGTCTGACCCTGGGAATTTGCATTTTCATGTGTGCCTCTTTCCCCATCTGTAATATGGGAATAGTAATGACCTATCTCACAGGTGCTCATCTTTGGGGGTGGTAAAGCCCATAGCAGCAGTATTTATAAATAAATACAGTTAAATGATACGATGTGAGCTGTCTTTGTCCGGAGTCCTTTCTTGCTCTGATATCTTGTCACCTTTTTTGCTCATGGGAAATTAACCTTTGTGTGACACCTAAGAACAAAGATTCTTAAGTTTTTAATATTTTTTAAATTTTACAGCATATTAGTCCAGCAACTGTAAATCAATAAAGGAATCTCAGATGCACAGGGTTGGAAGGGATTTTGTGGGGGAGGTTGCTTGAGGAAGAAATCAATTCTTTTTAAAGGCTTCTGCTGTTGGAGGCAGGGAAAGGCCACCCCAGCAGTGTCATGACATTCCAGTTGGCAAAGGGAGGTATGGAGCTGGGCCTGTGTACTTGAGTTCTTTGTAAGTGTGTTGATTTAAATTTATAACAGTTAAGGAGAATGGAGCAGTTTTGACCAGTTCCTTTCAACTGAGATGGAAAGGGCAGGTTGGTGAGAAGCTGGAGAACAAAGTTACAAGGTGGAATTTAACATTAGTTTAAGTAAAGCTAAATTCAGGTAATATTTTCTCATTTTGAAAGGTACCTGCCTTTGTAATCTCATGTATTGAGCATTTCCTATGTCAGTCGTTAAACTAGGCTACTGAGAAAAACGTGGGGAAGTGCAGCTCTGATTTTGCTTCCCTCTGTTAATGCTAACAGTCTTGTGCACTGACTGTAGTTCTTGTAACCTTCCTTTAAGCATTGTGCCTTGATACCTGCCTTCTTTTCTCCCTCCAAGCTGCGTACATGCCCACTGAATGAGTGCAACTCTGACACCTTGGAAAATGGTCAGAGAACTGTTTTGTTTTGTTTGTTTGTTTCATGTTACTGGGGCATCCTTCATTGCACTATAAAGTAAGGTTTGTCCAGGAGGGAGGCTGGTCTTCAGGCCCTCTCCTCTGTTTCTGTGCCTTTCTTTGTGTCTCCATGCTGCATCAAGTTTTAATGGCCACTTTCTTATCTTCAGGAAACTCGCACTCTGGCAGAGATTGCAAAAGTGGAACTTGACAACATGCCTCTGCGTGGGAAACAGCTAAGAGTGCGTTTTGCCTGCCATAGCGCATCGCTGACCGTCAGAAACCTGCCTCAGTTTGTGTCAAATGAGCTCCTTGAGGAGGCCTTCTCGATATTTGGCCAAGTGGAGAGGGCTGTGGTAATTGTGGATGACAGAGGAAGATCTTCTGGGAAAGGCATTGTGGAGTTCTCAGGGAAGCCAGCTGCCAGAAAAGCCCTGGATAGATGCAGCGAAGGGTCTTTCTTGCTAACTACGTAAGTCTGGAGGCAAAAAGTGTGTCTCTGGCGTGTTCATAGCTTGAGAGAAGGTGCTGGAATAGGTGTGATATGGAGTGGTGAGTGGTATATACTTTACCATGCAAGGTGATGCACCTGGGGAGGAACAACCGGCACCATATCTACAGGTTGGGGAACTCCCCTCTTGTCAGCATGGAGGCGGAAAAGGATCTTGGAGTCATCAGTGACTCCAAGATGAACATGGGT